AAGTTGGAGATCCGTTGTCCTCCACTGGCTTGAATGGGACAGCTAGTTCATCTTCTGTGGCACCACCTCGTTTTCCATCTTTTCGTTTACATGGAGGTCTTTTGCCAGGTGTCATTATAGCGTCTTACGTTTTCTTTAAAAACTCATACTTCATTTCATTCACTTGAACAATGGTTTTTTCTTTCTCGAATGTTACTAAATTTTTTAGGTAGCCGACCTCGCCCACCGCTTATTTCTCCACCGACCTTTTTCGGAAACACAACGCCCTCAACAATACGACAGCGTGGTCCGCCTCCTTCAGGTCGTGGTCCTCCTTTGCTTCGTGGCCCACGTCCTCCAATACTTCATCCACCAAATAATGGACCAGCTGGACCAATTCCAGCCATTCCACCCCCAAGTGTAAAATCGTGTTTAATGGTCGAGAACGTTTCCGAAAATGAATCTGATATAGACGTTGCCAAGTTCTTGCAGCTAACTCAGACAGCTCAAGGCAAGTTCGTGCATAATTTTACTAGATCTATCCCACGAGAACATCCCTATGTCAACTATATGCCTCTTTAGCTCATCGCAATATTGCTTGCAACAATTCGCCACTGTGAATTTTGATGAGAGCATGGTTTTTCCTATTTTTGAGAGTTTGTAACTTTTATCATTTTAGCAACATTACGTCGAGCAGCTGATGGAATATTTTACGTTGATATGGGTGCTATGGATGAAGCAACGAAAGCTGTGCAAATGTACAATGGTTTAAAGCTTGGAGAAAATGCCATCATACTCACGGCAATTACCCGGCAACAGATGCACCTCGGTGTTGATAAGAAAATTGAATCGGTGAGCTCAAAGATTTTTTTAAAAGAATCATAAAATTTGAGATTCGGCATGACAGGATTGTGGATAATTCACTGTTTACATGAGCATTAAATCTCCATCTAAATTATGTTGAAAAATGTAGTTTTTTGGAGTAAATGTATGATTCTGGTGGTTAAGTAAAGTTTAGGTAGAAATGTTGGAACCAGAGCTAATTGCATCCGTGGGAGAGCCAGGTACCGTCATTAGTTGTCATGGTTTTCCGGCAAATGTCACTTTAACGGATGTGGCTCAGTTCTTCGACAAGTATTCGCTGGTGGAAAGTTCCGTGAGAATAAAACTGGACGACAGTGGAGTACCAACGGGCGAATGTCTCCTAGCTGTCGGCTCACCTCAGGTTTATATTTTTGCTAGTTTGACTATCAGAAGATTGAAGGAATCTTGTTATAAGATTGGAAATCCAAAGCAATCCAAATTTTGGAAGGCAATGAATAATATTTCTGGGATAGAATGGAGCCTCTGGTAATGTGAATAACAGAGATTTTCCTTTCAGTAAAATAAGGGAGGATGATAATCCATTATTATATTTCTCCGATTCAGCGATTGAGGGTTTGTTTAATTTGGAACATAACTTATGTTATCTGGTGAGACTTCACAGTTTTAGGAAGCGAACAAAGCCGTAATGTTGCTAAGTGGCCGAAAGCTCGCTGGTTCAACTATAACAATGTCTGTTGTTCGAGCAGCTACAAAACAATAGTTTTCGACTTTGATAGTAATTTTCCTTATACTTTTCCTGTCACTTTGTATTTCAATTTTGAATTTAGAGAGGGTCTTCAAATGTTCTTTATTATTCTTCGTCTTTTATACCTTAAATCTCCTTTAAATCTCTGTTTGTCTCGGAAAATTGCTCGGTCTGAATCAAAATGTCAGTGTGATAATCGATTCATTTTTACTGGATTTTGAAAACGGGAAATGAATTATAATGCAGATATGCAGTTCAAATCCATAGCAAAAATGTTATGGTGTTCATTAAAAAATTACTGTTGAAATACGACTTGCCAGTTGGTTTTTCACATCGAAGTTTTAGCAAAATTGGGTACCCACGAAATTTTCAGAACTACTAGAATTGGATACCAATAGGTGGGTGAGCCGATATATTTCAGTACTTATTGGGCTATCAGAATCTTTGATCATTTGAATTCCCCTGTTGATTCATGTTTCATTCCGTTAGTTTTCTTTTTTTTATAGTGTCGTCCCTCGGGGATAGATACTTCATTGATCTCGCTGTGTGCAAATTAAGTATTCAACTTTTTTTGTCTTTGCCTTTTGAAATTTGCAGAGTTCTATTCATGGTGTTTGCATGTAAGTGGTTGCCTTTTATCCTGTTTTTAAACTTCAGGTTTTAATTCAAATTACCACATTAAAAATTTTTAAAACATACTATCCTTGTATATTCCATGTTTTAACTTACTTTTGCAGTTGATCCACTGATTGTCATTTTTTATTTCTTGCTGCATTAACTCGTAAATCTGATGTGCAGGAAATGCACGAGTTGCTAAGAAATTATGCTTAGTATTTTAAGTGGAAAAAAAAATTTTGCTAATAGAGTCTGCATGAACAAAAAAAAAAAACGTAAATAAGCTTAAGATTCCAAACGAGTCTACGAAAGGTATGGTCTGGGCAACACATTTTCAATTTTGGAAAAAATCGAATTTCCTTCTATATCAGATCAAGAATTGTTTCTGGTTCTGCAGATATTTTTGTCAGAAATATACTTCAGACTCAGTAAAATGATAAGCAAACAAACCCAAACACCAGCGCATAAATCTGCAAATGACTTCATAAACCTCCCTACTTATAAACAGCGAAGAAGGTTGACATATCTTTATATTTGAGCATGAAAAATGCTTTCTTTCAAATAACTGTATCTCACTTACTTTATGATTTCGGTCTGTGATTGCTCCTTTAACGAGAAAAAAGAGTATATAATGAAATAATGAAGTTTTTCTTTTTTTTTTCTAGTCCGCATGAATAACAGCCCTTAAAAAAAGAAATATCCACTCATCTACAAATGGGCGCCCCGACATAAGTTATGTCCACTATATTAAATAAAATACAGTGATGATCGAGTGATCTGTAAATTCACAAAAATCCCCAAATGAGAACAGCTGGCGTGAATCGAAACAGTTCAAATAAGTGAATAATTAAAAAAAAATTGAGTGACAGTTGCAAAGAAAACAGCTATAAAACCAATAAAATTTAATGAAAATGTGTTATTTGTTTGGCCAGTTGCGAATGAAATTTGAAGTTGGAAGTGGAAACATGTTTCAATCATACATGTAACTCAAAAATGGAAGTGACCCACATAGTTTGAACAGCATAACAATGATTAACTATTCCTGTTCAAATAACTTACCTTCGCGTCGAAATTGAGGGAAGTGACGTCACCTACCTCATGACCTTGCAAATTTGAACTACCAATTTATTACCATCTTTCTACCCAGCAATATAACTACATCATAAGTAATTGCAACAACTGTAGATGTTTTATTCCACGAAAAACATTTCCATCCATTGCAAACGTCATAACCAGTGACATCGAAGTGATATCACCACTCTCACGACTTTATCGCTTTTCTCGATTTCAACGCGGTTATTTGGGTAAGAATAGTTAATCCCTGTTTTGTTCAAACTATCCAGATCACTTCCAGTTTTCCTCAATTTCAATTGAAGTTTAAAATCTCTATGTAAAATTCCTTTGAAAAATGCTTCTCATACATTTGAAATAGTTGCTGGAAACATTGTCCTCGCATTTGAAATAATTAGGAGTTCAACTATGAGTGAAATTGGATTTTAGAAAAAATTTTCGACGATTCTGATAACAAGTCTGTAGATGTAAATGACAACTGAAGTCATGCAGATTTTTACAAACTTGCTGAAAAAAGTCCCTATCATGACACGTCATCCATCTTCATTAACTTCACCATCAAGTCATAATTTTTCTATTAATGAAACCTAACAACATCGCAAATGAGATGTAAATCAAACAATAAGGCTTAGATCTAGAACGCAAATGTAAAGAATATAAAATTATAGACTTTCAATCGACCGCGGAAGGAAAGTTCAGGATTAACGCTTAATGTACAACGCATCAAGCATTAATGCTAATACTTGCCAACATAAGTATAATTTCAACAGGCACCATAATTCATTCAATAAATTGATTAAAATCAACGGAGCAATCATTACATGTATGACATTTATAATTTACATTTTTTACAATAAGCTCAAGAAGAAAACCTGGAAATAAGCCAGAAAGTCTAAAAATATAAAGATATCTAAGCGATCGAAAAGGACCCAATACTTATCAGGTCAAGTTGTTCGTACGTTTATAAATTAGCCAATGTTGTCAGTCCTTAGTGCTCTGATCCAGATGTTCTTGAGATCCCCAATGTAAGTGAAGTAAAACTATTCCAGACTTTCTGCTCTGAATCTTCATGCAAAACCCTCTTCCTCCAATATGTACTCACAGGATTCCAAACCCCAGTGAAGAATGAGTAGCATCTCCTTGGGTACTGCTGTAATACTGTAATATCTGCATTAACCTGTCGTCAAGAAAACAAAAAAATTATTCCTCTATGGAAATTTCCTTTCTTTTACAATGCTGATGATGTCCGTGACTGGAATTATTTTGAGATCAATAAAATAACTTGCCAAAAAGTTCTTTGCGTGATAAAAACGAAACTGAATGTGGCAACAAAACAGAAATAAAGTAGCATTGATAAGTCCATACTAAGTATTAGGGCTGAAGAAGAGAACATGAAGTCAGATGATTAGAACTGGAAAATGGATGGCTGAAAGTGGTTCTTTACATTCAAACCAACAGAAACTGAAGTCCTCATGAAAAATTTTAAAAAGTGTTTCCAAACAAAAACCTTTTCTAACAAAAGTATGCAGTGTTTGTTCTCTTCCCAAAAGAAATGGCAAACGTTACCTATATGCAATATTATTGGAATGTCCCTATAATCTGAAATGGAGACACTGAAGAAAAAATGCCTGTAATAAGTTATGATTTTAATACAGATGGTGTAACTTCCAGACAAGACAATATCTCAAACGAATACAAAATCTGGAGCAAGTTTTTTTTTCTTTTTTTTGTATTTCCAATGAAAGATGTTTCAGTATTTTGAATTTCAATCATTGGAAACAAAACTGCGTGAAAGAGAATGATGGACGGGTGGTGCGAATTCACGGATTTCCTCTTCCATCACTTCTTCGCCATTTTCGCCGACTGAATTGAGGTAATTATTCAACACTCCAAATATCTGATTATTTAACAACTGGAATCGACGAATTCTTTCGACCATTTGAGAAAGTTTCTATAATTTGTATTTCTTGTAAAGATGCATTAGCTCACTTCGTTCAAAAATAATGTATTATACTTTTCAAATAGTGAAACAAGGCATAAAAATACTAAATACATAAATAAGTGCTTACAATGCCATGAACGATGTTGTCTTTCCCATCAGCACGATGAACTCGTAAAAGATGGTAACTGAAATCAAGGACCTCGAATCGGCGATGTTGATTTAATACGGCAATTATTGCACAACCCGCCCAATGTAAGCCATCGCCAAAGAGAGCTCTGAAAAACAGAATTTAAAGGAAAAGGATCTTTCAGGCCAATGCTTCTAAAGCGATGATGATATACAAAAGTGAGACTAATATTCTGTAGATACCAAACTGAGTGAGAAAGAAATGAAAGAAGATATCAACCGAGCAATTTACTCGATTAGTGGTTCAGTAAGCGGGTTCAGTCCTTCCTGTCCTGAAGGCGGTGACTGACAAAAGAAAAATTGAAGCGCTGACCACAAACGATGGAATTCTACGCATTCCTCTAACCACATCACCTAAATTAAGAGGCTTTTATCAAAAAACAAAATATACTAGAAGAAATAAATGGCACAGATCGATGAGTTCCAAATTAAAGAAAAATTAACAGTCAATAATATACAAAAGACTAAAGGAATTCATTATTCTGCGGAAACCCATTGCGAATTTGCATGAAAACAAACTCCGTTACTAGGGAAGCCACCAGTCCAAATGGTATCCACCGATAAAATCTCCTTAAGCTTAAAAATAAACATCTCGAAGATATTCAATCCACAACAAAGGCGTTCTTTCGTCAATAATTCTGCTTCTCGTGCAATCGCTTTCTGCTATAATGGATCACACGATTTTCTCTGAATCTCTTGATATTTTTACATGTTATGGTCTTTAAAATCAAACTTTATACTATTAAGTTAAATAAGAAAACTAAAGGCACTTAAATACTTAAATATATTGGGACGAAAATTGAGAAACCTGTGCAGAATAAATAAATTGTAATCATTAACCTTTTCGTCACCAATTTGTTCAACAACAGCAGAAATCTGAATCCGTGCATACTTCTGCTCTAGTTGCTTCATTTTCAGTTCCTGCTCTTCTACCTCTTCAAAAATTTTTTAACGATATTTTTCAGTTTAACTGGTAAACTAAATCAAGCCTCCCTAAATAATCTTATATCAAGGAGAGTAAAAAATTGAATTCCACAGCTTCCTTAAATAAGACACTTCATTTGTATGTGTAGTTATTCTGATATAATAATAAAGACCAGATACATGAATTTCACAGAAACTGGAAGTGATATTCAATAAAAAGAAGAAATTACTCTTCGCTGGTGGACGAGGAATAACGTTTGTAAATGGTGCAGCTATCAATAAATCCATAACTTCCTCCTGTGCTAAAGCTAATTCCAATTGTAGACAAAAAACGATTATGTTGCCAAGTTCACGAAATACCTGAAAAACACCGTCGAGAAACGGCATTTACAATTCAAACACATTTTTTCCCAGCAACATATCGTGTGACAAAATTCAATAACAAAAAAGAAGAGAAATCTCAGCATCTATAAACAAACTCAAAAAATCCATGTTAAATCTTAAAACAGGAAACATTGCTAAAATTCTACTTGACACATATCCTTTTTAAGCTCGGCGTAGCGTCCAACATTAGCCAGATGCGCTATATAATACTCCAGCACAGCTGAAAAACATTCCTGTTTACAACTTCAAAACCGAAGGATATCAACTATGTCAAACCACAATCCTTTCGAATTCAACATACCAGGTGAACCGTAATCAAATCTTGGCAGTTTGCAAACTTTCGGCATCAAATTGAAAACAGATCTTACATGACCACGCAATGGACCATTCACCTGCAAAGTAAGATGTCCCCTGCTTCACTTTAATGAATTACAATAAACATATTTCTTGATGGAAATTCCCTGACGCCTTGCAAACTTACCAAATTGCGCACAATTTTGATTAGTTCCTCTAAAATAATTGCTATGCCTTGATAACCCAACAAACGAACCACCGCCCTAAAAAACTGCGTTCCGTACACTAATCAAGTAATTATAGATCACCAATTAAAAAAAAAGGCAACTTATATTACACCTGGTAAAATCAATTACGAATTAAAAACAAGCTAAACAACTTACTTTAAATGTGGAAATCCAATAAATCCACTATACAATGAGTATAAATTTGTAAACGCAGCATGCAACGACTGCAACAATATAAGTAAAAAAAGATGCTTCCCAGCAAATAATAAGACGAAGTCTTATAGTTTTAAAAATACGCAGATTAGTCATATTTTACAAAACTCAGAAAAAGTACTTTTGAACCCCAGAAATATGGCACAGCGGCTGAAGGCGGACGTTCTCGTTGTGGAACCTTGCGTTTTGAGTCTTTCACCAATGACCGAACAAATCTAAAACTGTATATAAAATAATAAAACACATACCATGCTGATCCTACACTGGGAAAAAAATACACATATTTAGTGCTCCACATTCTCCCTTTTTCGCACCGGATAATAATGATGTTTTTGGTATCAATAAATTAATAAATAGTATTTTTAGCAAATTTTACTGTTTCACATGCGCTCTTGTCATTATTCAAAAACAAATTCAACTTCTATCGAGAATAGTCAGCATACATGATTTAGGTTACCAAAATCAAACAAACATCTGCTTATTTGTGTAAAAAGTGCTGATATTCGCCAGGTAGGTATATACCCTCCTAAGAAGAGCCATTAAACTGTTTCACTGAAAAATCCCACAACTTAATAAGTTAGTTCAATGTACACCTAAATGCTAAAGTCACAACAAAACTGACCTACGTGTAGAGCCATTATAACAAAAGTTGGGTATGAGATCATAATTCAGCTCCCAAAACACATGCAAGGTGATACGTCCATATGGTGCTGAAACGCTATGATTTGCTTCGCACAAAAGTTCATTAAAATCAGAGATCGAGCCTAGCTGTTCACTCAAAAGACGGTGGCACAGACGATTCGCTTCCAGTAAGCAATCCAGTTCCTTAAATTGTTGATGATAAAATGTGCAAAACCATTATCAGGGTTTCATCATTCTTCATCTCTAAGATGCATCGATGTTATGGAACGGACAAATCAAATCTGACCGATAAAAGTATTTTCTTGAATGAATCAATTTTCTATTTCATTATTACATTTAGCACACAATGAGCATAGGATAACATCAGATCGACAAATTTTTCGAAAGACCCACTGTTCAAATTTAGCAGAATTCAGAGAACATATCGCAAGCTCAAATGACTTACAACGATGGAAGACAATTCTTCAGATTCGAATTTTGAAATGGCAATATCAAGGGCCCGAATAATAGCTGCATTAATTCTTTGGCTTACCAAACGATTTAAATCAATTGATCGACCCAGAAGCTGAATCACTCGTGTGATCAATTTTAATATTTCGCGAAAGTTCATATTCGATTTGATAATAACAGGTTTTAAACCAATAAAAACTATGCTAAACGAATATAACTTTAAAGCATAATAAAGGCAGCTGCGAATTTATTTCCAAATTATTGGATTAAATTAAACCTGCCGTCCTTCATTTACTTCATAATTTTCACCTGAACATGTCGTTGACATAGCAAAGTTTCGTATCGGCAGTGAGGTGGTGCGCGAATCGTTATTCCTAATGCTTGACAATCTGCTTTGAAACGTTTGTCGAGCAACATGCTGAAAATTAAAAAACTGACTTGTTCATAACTAGAAATGATTAAAAGTTAGTGGATTAATACAGCTCTATGGTGTCATTCACTGGTTAAATATCGATATGATTAAATATATTCACTGGTTAAATGCAGTTAGGTACGGCAAAGTGAGCATCATTAGCACACAATACGATAACATTAAAAAAAAGAGTTGTACTAATATACTGACAAGATCTTAAGGCGTAATATTAATTGCTTCGTTTTTACTGTTGAATCGATCTGACTATCATGCTGCATTTAAAAAAGGCAAGTTCGATAACATATTGCCCTGTTTAAGTGATCCTACATGTTGAATTTAATTATAGTTGATGTTGTACATTCTGCATATCATCATTGCAATTCTACTACTACTACAGAAATAAGCGTTGCACTGAATCACCAGACAATCTTCCTGATTCATTCCTACATGTTGCATTCAAATAAAATTGATTGACTTGACATAAGTAGTAACTATATCAACATACAAACAACAATAAGTAACTAAGTGCAACAACATAAATAAATAAAAGAATAAAAAAACAAAAACAAATTTACTTTGAAGCCAGCTGCTTAGAATAGGTGAACACGGCATCGCTCACTTTGAAAACAAACTGATCAAAACATAAATTTACTTCGGCTTCAACTTCATCATATAAAAACTGTTTTTTAAACTTCTTCAATGCATAATCAGCGGCATCATTATATAAATCAAGTTGGTAAAAGATAGACCTAAAATTAAATGCAATTAAAAATTAAGAATTATATCTGATTCCTTTCCACCATCACGTGCATTTTTTTGTAGATTGCTTCTCAAACATATTTCGGTACAGATGATCCAAAAAATTAAAGTAATGAATGATACCTAATGCATAATAATTTGAAGTATTACGAGCCAAATGCCAATTTCTAAAAGTTCTGCAGGAAAATTTTGAAATCTGAATATTTTGAGAAAAATTACTCAATTAAAGCAGGATCCTGGCTTGTCAATATATAATCAGTCAAAATCCATGGCATTGACATATCGATAGGAAACTGAATTCGGCGTCCCATTGTCATCTCCAGATAAAATTCACGAAACCATAATTGTGAAAGTTCACAACATTCACTCAATGTTTCTGCAAATATGTTTAATATTCCTTCTATTTTGCCAGATCCCCCAAACTGAACGACGAAGTTTCCAGAAAACCTCATCAACTCCTAAAAAATATTCCACTGCTGTAGAATAAATGACCGTTTTGAATGCTTTTATGAATGTGCAATTCCTTTCCGGACTTTTTCGTCTTCTTATACATACATTGCTTTAAAACATTGTGTCTTCTTGTCCGAACTGAGCCTTTTTTTTTCTACTTCATGGTTCCCAGTAGATTCCATTTGAATTTGCTAATTGCATAGTCATCAGCAATATCGACAGACCTTGGGAGGCAGAGTTAACAGAATTAAATTTAGGACAGACTGTGAGGCAATGGCTCCAGTACAAGCCTCTCAGATTAACCAACAAAAAGTCGTTCAAAGACGAATTAGGATTGTGACTGACTCACAAAACTATTCGGACAATAAAGGCGCGAGTAATTTGAAAGGCTTTTCGTAATCAGTTGATCACCGTGGGATAAAACGCTTCAATATGATAGTTCGCAAATGGCTTTCTTTGAAGATTCTCTTAATTAATGGTACTGCAGGGGAATTACTAATATGATTTGAACAAATTATCAAAACTGACAAAAAATTAAAGAATAGTGATGAGCGGAAAAGAACTTTATAGTATGCAGATTCTATCAAAATTGAAAAGACTTAGTATCGAAGCTTACATCTAGTTCCATCTTTCTTGCTCACTAAATCTTTTCTCAACTACCCGGAACTCATTGTTTATATACACCAACTCCAACGACAAGTTGAAAAAATACTCCGAGAAACCTTTGTTTTCCTTATCCAGTCGAGATGAATAAAAAAAAAATCACAGTTATTCATCTCTGAATCATTTGAAGCACCTTGATTAATGGAATTCTGTTTGAGCTAAATTACGACAGTTTAGACGATGTCACCAAAAACAGTCATTTATTCTGTACTACTGTAGTATAACAGCAAAAATGCCCTTCTCACTATTTCCATTGTCAAGATAGCAAATAATGTGATCTAAAAAGTGTGAAAAAATTTAAACGATATACCGATGAGTTAGAATGTACTGACTTTAGAAGCATAGATTCTGCCATGATATGCGTCTTGTTACTACAGAAGCAGTACAAGCGACGTTTTTTAAAGTTATATAAAAGATTACTTCCGTTTATAATGAAAAAGACAAATACTTACCAGAAAAAGCAAGAAGGGCAGGCCAATGAAAACTTATGCGTAAGAAATGTGCCAATCGTTCTACATATTTCGATTCGATGTCTTTACGTAATATTTTCTTGCTACCACTTCGTTCCGAAATCAGCGATTCGGTCATCGTACGGGCCATATATAACTAAATGTAGATGAGTAGTTGTTATTTTTATTCGTACTATAAGTGAAAAAAAAAGTGAAAGGATGCGTGAGTGTCCCTTTCATTCGATCACACCTCTGGAACTAAAAGTTAAGTTGAAAAAGTGTTTTGAATTCCGCTAAACATAGCACAAACTGCCCAAAGGCCAGAGTTAGAACATAGTCTGCAGACATTAAACAGGATACAGTCTATAAGTATTAAATGATAAGGTACTCAATCTACATATGGGAAACCTTCATTACTGGAGTGAAGTTAGAACTTAAGAAAAATTATTAAAAATCAAATGAAAGATTAAGAAAATGTCACCTGCGTGCTACTTGGTGCAACAGATCGTCGTGTCGCACGAATATCACTGATTGATCCTACCGTCGAATGTCGCTGCTTCTTCGATTTACTCATTTCAACGGAATGCGGATCAAAATTTCCAGCACAATTGTCTACACAAGTATCACATATTGATTGGATAATTCTGATAAAATAAAAATTCATTAGGAATTAGGTCGCAGCAACAGTAATGAAATAAAGAAGGCAATACATTATTAAAAAGCGACGATTTTCAACTAAAAATTTGGAACTAAGAATATCTTGCAACAGAATTACCACTATTTTGAATTAAATTGTAAATTTCTCCGAAATCTTTTGTAGTTGAATAATGGGTCGTTTCATTACTGTATGCTCTTCTAAAAAGTTCGTGAAGCACTACTCTTAACTTTTACAACAAATAAATAACTGTTGCTGAAAGATCAACTTGCCCCGCCAATAAGTCCTTTTTATTCTTAAGAGCTTTATGAAGTGGCTCTTTCAAAGTTATTTGAACAAAATCCTGCATTTCAGCATAGATATGTTTTCTTATGGCCACACTCAAAATCGGTTCCATTTTAGAAAGCATATGCTGGACGCTCTTGATCATTGATATAGTCTGAAGCAATAGTTAGTTCTGGCTCGAATTATTTTTTTTTTTTTTTTGTGTAGAAACAGTGACGAAACTTTCTATAATTAAAAATGTGTCAAGAATTTTGTACTTTACCAAATTTATTCAGAAAAACAAACCTCAATCAATGCCGCTTTCTCTGCAGGTTGGTAGTTATACTTCGTGGCTCGTTCATACTCCTCCGCTGTTTCTGGACAAGCTGAATTAGTACGATGGTCAGTTGGATGAAGCAATTTCCACGAAATTGTTTCAACAACATCGCTAGTCCAGCTACAAAGAAGTTGGATACCATTCAACATCAACTGAGTCATTTCACGATTTTCACTATCACTGCGTGGTCCATCCCTATCATAAACAGCAACCTGAAAGTAGGAAAATTTTAGATGATTTCGAGTTATTAAAATAACCAGAAAGTACTTTACTACTTCCTTCCAGGTATTCCATTTACTTTGAGCTTATATCGGAAGCAAATTTAGAAAAAACCACCTCATTATTAAGTCGAGAAAGATTTGTTGCATATTCCAAATGCTGCTGACGCATCGTTTTTAATCTTTCCCTGATATTAACGTGACACTTTTCACCTTTAACATATTATTTTACATTCGTTATTAGTAATGGAAATATAGTATGGGAATCAGCAATAGCAATTAAAATTTTAAAATCTCGACAAAATCCGTATAACTTTGATTATAATAGAAAATATGTTGAAATCTACCTTCATTGTTTGCATTTGGCCACTTTGAAGCTTCAAAATAAGGTGATCTTCTAACAAATGAAAACGGTTGTATTTGCATATCGCCAAATAATGGTACGACTTCAAGTGACTAAAAACAAGAATACATTTTTCTACGGCTCTTGAAATGCTACAGAGAATATTACGTCACTAACATCTGTTTTCATTTTTTGGAAAATCAAAGATTATATAAAACATTCAACTATCCGTATATTACAACGCTAAACGTTATGAGGAAATGCAAGAGCAATAAACCTGGAAAATCTTATCAAGTTTAGAAATACTGATCCGTTTCCGTTGATCTAACTTCGAAACATTTGCACTGTCGCCATCCATTAAGAATAATGCAAAAGCTATTACCTGAAATTCGAAAAACTTGTATTTCCCGAAAATTCTCAAAAACATTGCCAAAACACTGTTTTTAGATGTGCAAATAGCTCAAGTTATAAGACCCCCAATTATTTTTAAAAACCGAAGTTGAAATTAAAGATTGAAGGATGGTAAGCAGAATGAGGAAATCCATACTTTAACAAACATATGTCGCTCAGAAGGAGTGATGTACATGTGATTTTCGAATAGTATTACGCAAATATTGACAACATCAGCCAAGATTTCCTCATAGCTCTCAATCTAAAACAGCAGTTTTTGATAGCGATAAATGTGACAGAATAACACGGTAGAATTATACAAAAAGTGGGGAGAGGGGGGGGGGGTCCTTAATCAACACACATGAATGCCCCGTCAGTTTCAGCTCGTAAGCAAATAACAATTCAAATCAGATCCAATTAAAACTGGATTTTATTGGAGACAGAACATGAACTTCATTGGAATATTTTAAATCTTGAAACTGTGACAGTAAAGGAACATTAACGCTTATTTAGTAATGAACCAACAGATTAATCAAGAAAAGGAACCATACAACCGAACAAAACTGTACATAAACAAACCGATTGCAGTTCACTTTTGAGTGTATCCTTGATTTTATTCTGCGTTGCTAAAAACATACTCAAATTTTGCATTTCATGTAAAGTCTTCGTGTCCGACATAACTTGTAAGAACTGAGCTGATCTGAAAAATCATTTTTTTTCATAACTGCATACTTACATGGACATTACATATCTGTGCGGAATCTATATCCGCAATTCTTTAACATCTACCAAGCAAAATAAACGAAAAAAAAGACTAAGAATAAGACTGCAAATAAAAATAAATTTTTGAGCGTATCTTTGGTTTTATTTTACGTTGTGAAAAACATACTCAAATTTCACATTCAAACCAGGACTTTTCAAATACCGAAAGATGATGCCAAATTAACCTTCTGAATGTAGAAAAGTCGTTTTTAATTGATGCTTTCATATTTTTCAACTCATCAAGCACTGCAAACATGTTCAACGTTTTTCCAAGTGTTAACAAGTATGCCTCGGATACAAAATCTTTTCGTTTCTCCGGATGACACAAACGCCTCATTTCGTCGCAGAAACGTGTAATCGCTTTGTTCTAAAATAACTTTTACATTATGAATATTTATGACTGCGAAGTAATTAAAATAATGATGCGTAAAAATGAACCCATTAATATAAACAGAAGCATTACCGCAAAGTGCATAAAACGGTGCAATTTCTCCACCTCAGGATTCAGTACTTCAACAACTTTTTCATTTATTTCAACTCGATTTGGTTGGTCGTTGGATTTTGCCTGAATAACTCATGGCTAAAAATTTCGTTGTTGCATAAGTCAATTTTGAACAAATAATGAAGAAAGAATGAGAGAGAAACTAAATACATTCTGAACTCGCACTTTTTACTGAACTCCCACTTTTTAAGGTCCATTTTCCAGTTAGAGCCCTATCCCCATTAGAAACATGAAGAGAAAGCCTAACCTAGTAACTGAATTTTACCGAAGCTCAGGGCCTCAAAATACAAATTTTTTTTTATCAAGCAATATTCGACACGTGAAAGATTGAAAGTATATTAATTATAATGAAAGGTTTACCATGGGAACGGCTCTTGAACAACACCGCCAGGTGTATAGATGAGCAGCATGTTCGAAACCTTCTAATAACATATCATTCTAAATAAATCATTATAAAAACTAAATACATTCTTTATGACAAGAAATTTAATTTTAACCACTGATAGCGAATTCGTATGAGCGCTTGGATATAATTTAAAGAATTATGTAAAGAAAAGTGAAGTGAACTGACGAATTCTGCATGTCGCGTGGCTTCCTCAATATACTTCGAAACACCTGTCACGTAAGCATTTCGGTCCTCAAAGTTTGTATTAAACGATATACGATACTCCAATGGTATTGGTTGTGCTTCGATGCACGGCTGATTGTCCAAAAGTATCAAATCATCCAAAAGCTAAAATTATCATCCTTTCCCGGTTGATTTGAGTTGTAGCGAACAGAAGTCCTTTCATAGCAATCTATTGATCAATATCAAGGTCTGTTTCTTTACTCTACTTCAAAAAATTCGAATTCGAAAATTTCTCTTATGAATCTAGCTCTTACCATTATTTTAGAATTAGTAGACTAGTTTAGCACAAGTTGAGATCTCCAAAACAGTGTTCACTAAAGTATGATTGCATGAAATTAAGACAATAAAGCGTTAGAACTAATTTAACCACAAGTAAAACAGCATATTTGAAACCTCAGCATACGGCACGATTAAAAAAACTTACATCAACATTTCCAACGGCATCTCGGAATGAAACTGTTTCCACAGCCATACCAAATATGTTACTTATACTGCCAAAGACACCTGTTCTTCCTGATATGTGTAGTAACTATAGTAAATGACTGTACAAGTTATTTTATGAATTCATTTTCATGTAGTATCTTCATGAATATAATAAAGGTATTACATGGAAACGAATTTATCCGAAATTCCTCACGATTTTTCACTGACAATTTCACCAGCGGATGGAATGAGAAAAAATCTGACAGTTGACAGTAAGTGGGCTTCTTATACGAGGATCATTACGGTGCCGAGGCCTTATTTGACATATGCACAGTGCATGTGTGTGTGTGTGTGTGTGTGTGTGTGTGTGTGTGTGTGTGTGTGTGTGTGTGTGTGTGTGTGA